ATTATGTAACACATGATATAATTCTGACCAGAATTATACCGGGTTGGTTAAAAGTCCCTAAACAGGTCCCTCTTTTACCATCTCCGCTAATATTTAATTTTATTATTTGTTATATGTACATATATACGAATTTAATTTATTACAACGATTACTAAGCATCAAAGTCATAATCAGTGTGATTAAAAAATGGGGACCTGTTTAGGGACTTTTAACCAACCCGGTATGCTACGGCAATGATATTGATCATCAACCCGAACTTCGGGGGCCGCCCTCGTGTCGTCGAATTTTATTCAATTGCTATTCGATTCTGAGATTTGATTGTCTAGTTCATTACGTGACAAATCCGATAACCACAATAGGAGGCCATTTAAAGCCTTGTGATTATCACATCGGTGATGTCGGGGTTCTAATATTCAAACTCCACTTTTGATTATAATATATATTACTAATCAAAAGCGGAGCTTGAATATTGGAACCCGACATCACGCGATGTGATAATAGAATCATCCTACGAGGCTTTAGCGCATCCCTGGTTTTTTTGTAGATGGCGCAGAGTTACGTTGCTCAAGGCTTTAGCGTCTCCCCCAAAATAATACAAAAACCAACCATCACAAATTAGGATAGACATGTAGAAATCATGATAGTACATACGGTTTATAAAAGAAAAAATTCGTCAAACCCAAGTTACTTTTACTACTAACCCCAACATGAAAAAGGACAATAATAGCGCTCAATCCTAACCCTAACCACAAAAAAAATGGTTATAAAACTTGACTTTTGCAAGTCTATATTAACCATACGTACTATCAAGTTTAGTATAATTTTGTATGTCTGTTCGAATCTGTACTGGTGTACGGTACTATTTCACTGAATTAGAGTTCCAATCCGGATAAATACGTCATCCATTCTGAATTATCTGGATAATTATCCGGATAATCCGACAGATATTCGGTAATTATTCGAATATCAATAGTAAACGGATATCCAATAAATTTGGATCGAATGCTTCGGATAACGGATTACAGATATCTAATGGATAAATGGATAAATAAATAATGGATAGGAACACTACACTTAATACCTAGTTTTGAGAGAGGCAACGGTATACAATATTGGCAGACAAAATAACAGGAATTTTTTCATGAAGTTATGTCACTCCCATGTATTGCGTAGCATCACATGAATGAATTAACATCGATGTATCATATGATCGCGTGAAGTTTGTTCTGACCGTATGAAGTTTTTCGTGATATTTTACGCCAATGATTACGTATGACAAAAAAAATGACATGGAAAAGAAATCATACGATCATACAAAATGTCAGATAATCAAATAAATTATTATATAATGGGTGAACGAGAGGGAAAACCTGTTAGAAGAAATTTATCCCCTGAAGAATCGTGATCTACGTAATTAGTTATACTGTATAGCACTGCATATAGTACCCATCTGAAATATTTGTGGGCCAATTTTCATAATTACTAGTGCGATCTTTTCCATTGGGTTTGCTATTCTAATAGCAATGTATATATTAATCAGTAACAATTATTTGTATTATCTTCCCATTTCCCAATATTTGGAGGGTATTATTCAATCTAGGCCGGCTTTCTTGAATAGTACCCGGGGTACTATATGCAACACTATACGTATATACAATCAGTGTTCTAATCATTTCGGTAATATACTTTTATCGGGCAGCTTACTATGATTTATCTGCCCAATAATTTTATTATTGGGCAGAAAAAAGGTTTACTATCGTTTCTGCCCAATAATAAATCATTGAGCAGAAAATTATAGTAAGTTACCCGATAAATCCGTTATCAGGCAGTGCCTGCCTGATAACTATTCAGTATTAAGAACACTGATCGTATATGTGATTAATTACGTAATATCACAATTCTTTCAGATTTTTCCTCTCGTTCACCCAAATATCATATTATTATCATTGCCGTATAGGACGTGGTGCTTTATCTTGACTTTTGATGGATCTCATATTATTTCCCCGACATCACTGACATCACATAGGGTGATGATTAATATTTTAAGTCTGATGAAGATTAGGAATCGACTTTAAATATTAATCATCACGCTACATGATTTGGTGAAATAATTGTCGAAGAAACAATGTCGGGGAAATGTTATGGACCCATTTTTGAGATTATACATAGCAACCGCATAGAATGTCCGCGGGCCATGATTTTAAACCAATCACGACACAGGATCAGGTGTAACGTGAAAACAAAACAAACTGCCGGCTTTTTTTAAAAAATCATCCATAACTCAAAATTTCGACTACACCCTTATCTTAACGTAAAAGTTGCAAATTTTTGAATAACGGTAATTTGGTTCAACCGGGCAAATGGTTGGCTGACACGTGCCGCGAAGCGGTACGTGTTCATTTGCCCGGTTGAACCAAATTACCGTTATTCTGTCATACTTATTCGTCGATGCTTACCCAATCTTATACATATACATGTATAGCAATTTCCCTCTTGTATAATGGTCCCTTCTCATACGGTATCCTTTGGTACTATTAAGGCCAGTCGATGGACTTGAATAAAACTGGATACTATAGGCAGTTATATAAGCAACATCGATAGGCTCAGAGTGATTCTATTGGCATATTAAAACGAGATGGAAGTCACCTAATCACCTTTTTGTTAGTATATAAATGTTCTTACCCAAAATGCTATACATAATTAAAAGGGTAAATTTGTTATTCGGTTTATGAAACTCTAATATAGAGATTGAACCCGTTGAGAAAAAATCTCTACCCGGGTATTATTAAATTACCCAGGTTATCCGTCCTTTGTTTCTGGACGATTTTCAGGATTCTCATCCCAACATCGTTTGTAAAGTTCAATATATTGAGGCGGTACACCTTCTATAGGCTCTTTTCTATTTCCTTGTGCTATGTGGAAAATAAGCGAATATTCTGATTCAAAATGTCCGGTAAGTTATTATATATTTCGGGTAATCGTATAGTAACAATTTCTACCCATGTTCAATCCCTACTGTAATGTACCATTAATATATGAGTGCTGCCAAGGGAAAATGTCCCTTCGGACTTTCAATTACATTTCGACCGGACACAATCCTTAATAAATTAAATAGAATGTGTCCGGTCAAGATCGATTCAAAACTTTAAACGACTACAATAAATTTATCAAATTAAAATTTTAAGAGCGTCGCCATGATGAACATATCAGACACAGTTATAAGTTACCAAGAAATCATGGTTGCAAGAAATCATTAAAATAATAATTTACTTGCGAAGCATCATGGTACGTTTTTCGCGCATCATAGCTTGTGTAAAGGATGGATTTTAATTTGTCTGTTTTACTCCTTTTGAAGCGAATTTGTACAAAAGAACAACTAAGTTTGTACAGATGAATATTCAATTTCGTACAAGAAAATAATGATAGCTTGTAATCTGATTTAAATAATTTTATTACTATTTGAATCTTCTTAATGAGATGATTCAAATGGTAACAAAATTATTCAAATTAGATTACAAGTTATTATTATTTTCTTGTACAAAATTGAAATTCATCTGTACAAAATTGGTTGTTCTTTTGTGCAAATTCGCTGTCAAAAGGAGTATAAAACGATCCATACAAAGTTGATATTTGCAATGTTCGATTATGTCCAATTTGCCCAAAATATTTAATTTTTTGGACCCGTAGTTATTGGACAATGTCCAAAAAATTTAGAATTAATCGGATAATATGTTAAATTTACTAATTGGACATATGTCCAATTGTTCAATTATTTTCAATAATATTGGGTTCCAATCTTTTATTCTCCCAGAAGTCATGTTTCTAGCAACAATTTACTTTTTAACAATCATTTTTATTTCATCAGCATTTTCATTTTCCAACATTGTTATCATTTGAACCTTATTTTCTTTATTATAAATACTTAGGTTGATGGATGTTCGTTACGCTTATAAATTAATGCAACAAGTACTTCATATAATACTGATTTTTGTATTTCAAAAATTTTTCTGTCCATTTTATATGTCCAATAAATTATTTGGACAATTGTCCAAATGTCCAATATTTTAATATATTTTCCAGATGATTTTTTCTTTTAACAATTTATATTAATTCATTGGACGCAAGGGATAGTTATAGAATAAAAAGTAGTAATATTGTCGTTAGTAAAGATGGCGAAAACTGAAAAAAAATTACTATTCGAAATATGTGATAGGTGAATCGCTAATTTCCTTGATCATACTTGAATTAAATAGCATAAACGTGTCTATAGTAATGATTGAATTAAACTAGCAATAACAATAAAATAGATTATCGCTCGAATATTGAATTTTCCTGATTGGTTAATAATAATTTCAGTGTACAAAATCATGGGACATAAACAGTACAAATATCATATAAGTTTGTTTGCTGACTAAAATCTCGGGATCGGGTAATATGCGCAATCTTAAATATATATAAAGACAAAAAAAAAAAATGCGATATGCATAAGATGCATCGATTCATCAGAAATCCTTCTTTCATCAAAAGTGTAAGTTTCTGATTTTAAAGAATATTAATGTTTTACGATATTGCAACATTTTATTTCAATTATTTTCTTTTATTTTTTTTGGTTTTTATTATTTTTAACTTTTTTTTTTTTTTTTTTAGCTTTCTCGGGGCTATTCCACAGCTAATAGCGTTAATGTAAAGAATTATTTTCAGATCATTGATATCATTGAGTATACTTAAGAAAATGATGTATTAAGTCATAACTTTCTTATAGCAAGTTGTGATTGTATCAGCAGCGAGAACGCCTATATGATCAAAATTCAGCAGAAATACTGTTATAAGTTAGTGTATTAAGTGGGAGTTTAAAAATAATGCAATATAATTGAGTACTCAAAAAAATTGCAACAAATTTGATTTTTATTTTGCCTACTTTCTAAATGCTAAAACTAAAAATTAACAAACACTAAAACGAATCAAAGCATATGCAAATAAGATATCTCTCTGCAAGTGATTTACTTTTTTTTCAATTCCTCCAGTTGCTTCAACATATGTTCTGGGCCTGAAATTTTATAATTAAGAGGACCTGGTTCTTCAACGTTTAAAATTTTAATAACTCTATCATCAACAAACATCGAAAAACGTAAACCACGTTCACCAGCGAATGGTAAACGTTGTGTAAGACCTAATGCAGAGTGAAATGGCATTTCTCCATCGCTAAGCATCAAGACTTTAGAGTCAACATTATGAGCGTTAGCCCATTCACGCAAAACATAAGGATCTAATTATAAAGATTAGATAAAGTGAGCTAAAAATGAATATAAACAAGAAATTTTATAAAATTAAAAAAAAAGAAAAAAACGAACCGTTAACAGCAGTACAAGCGATAGTGTCAATGCCTTTGGCCCTAAATTTGTCATAATTTTCAACAAATTGTGGTAGGTGTTTAGAACTGCATACGGATGTGAAGGCTCCTATAATTATTATGTGTGTTCGATTAATTTATATTAAGGATTTAAGCAAGAAAACATTTTGTTAAATTTACTAATTGGACATATGTCCAATTGTTCAATTATTTTC